TTTTAGAGAGAGAATGACTCTGAGAGGTATTACTTGCAGGGGAATTAATGTACTCAAAGACACCCGACACTTGCCAAGCATGATTTCACAGTTGTTTAAACTTACACTAAAGACAGATCATCTAGTTGAGAAATGTCTTTGCTGAGGGATTGCCTCAGGTGGAGGGGTGAGGGCAAAAATTGTTAAGCCCCTTTCAAGAGTGGAGCTAAGGAAATATAAGACATTCCCTAAAGATACCCTGGTGGCTCCAAGGAAATGGTATTTGGGATGGGTTAGATGTTGAGTGCAGGATGTTCAGATCTCAAAGAAAATCCACTTGCTTTTATCAACTTTGAGAAAAGATCTAGTTTGTAGATGCTCTGGAGAGCATTGGTAAGGGTTTTGCCTTGGTGCTAAGAAAGGAAACTTTGGAAAGCATTTTCGGAAGGCTTCTGGTTGACCAAGTTAGATTCTTAATATACACCGGTGTTTCTCATGAGCTGAATGAGGGTATTAGGAAGGGGCAAATGACAGTTGCAGGGATGTTGCTGAGGTAATCTGTTAGTGATGGAGTAATTTTTTTCTCTCCTGGCAGTCTATTGACTCAAATGACCATGTTAATAACCTAGACAACACGAGAAAAAAGCGAGCAAGCCTTGGCAGTAATATATATACTCATCAAATCTGTGAGGGTACCCTGCCTTTGCTTTTGAACTTATAAGGAAGAAGCAGCTTCAGTAAGTCACATAAAATCTTAGCAAATTCCTCGAACAGACAGTTCTTAGAGACATCCCAGTTTTGCAAGGATACGCTACAAAGAAGTGTTCACAGCGGTAGGAAAACTCTGAAGCTCTGATGGAGAATGCCACAAAAAAGGCATTAGAGGGAGGCCCAAAACCAGTTGAAAAGTTCACAGTAAAAAAAAAAAAAGAAAGAAAAAAAAAAGAGAAGAGTTGAAAAAGGGATACTGAAAAGATAAGGTGAATGTAATCGTGGAAAAAATTTCAAGGAACCACAGTGCTGCAGCAGTTAGAGAAGGCTGAAGCAGAAAAGCTTGGTACAGCCAGTAAAGTTAAAAAATATTCAGAGAGAAAACATTATTACCCACTGAAAGAATTAACTTCAAAAGATCAGTAGAAGTATTTCAGGCAAGAGTAGCAGAGTGATGAACCTACACAGTGATAAAAAAACCAGCTCTGGAGCCCTCAGCACAGGAGAGACAGGGACCTGTTGTAGAGGGTCCAGAGGAGGCCACAAAAATTATCAGAGGGCTGGAACACCTCTCCTGTGAGGACAGGCGGAGAGAGTTGGGGTTGTTCAGCCTGGAGAAGAGAAGGCTCCAGGGAGACCTTATTGCAGCTTGTTCAGTCTAAATCTACCCTCATTTCATTTAAAACCATTACCCCTATTCAGACTAGATACAAGGAAGAAACTTTTCACAATGAGGTGAAACCCTGACACAGGTTGCCCAGAGAGGTGGTAGATGCCCCATCCCTGGCAGCACTTGAGGTCAGGTTGGACGGGGCTCCGAGCAACCTGCTCTAGTTGAAGATGTCCCTGCTTACTGCAGGGGTTTGGACTAGATGGCCTTTAAAGGTCTCTTCCAATGTAAACTCTTCTATGATTCTATGATAAATGAAATCAGAAAAAAATTGAGAAGCATGATGGAAATGGAAGGCACCATATTATCTTTTGGCTAAGAGGACAGAAAAAAAGGAATTAGAGTGGCATGATTAAGAAAAATGAATGCCAGGTGCTGATGAATACACTCAGAGAAGAATGGTGTCTAACTGGAAGACATCGGAAGTTGATAAAATCCACAAGTATTTGTTAAAAATCCTCACCAATCCATATCTTAGCTCAAAATACAGCTATAGGAAATGCTGCAAAAGGCTGGAGGGATGGAGCATGCTTATGGAAAAAGAAAAAAAA